CCTCCTGGGTGCCAGGGGCCTGTCCCTGGGGGAGAGCCCCCGACGGGCTCCCTGAGGCCTCCCTGTGGGACGTGGCAGAGCAGGGGACAGCCTGTCGAAGCCCTCACTGTGTCTGGTTTTAGGAGTGACGTGGTTTTTAAATGTCCGAGGAAGTACCTCACGTGTAGAAGAGAGTATACGTAGCGTGTGTGCACAGTTGGAGAAGTAAATACGAAACGAACACCTGCATCCCCGTTGCCTCTTCTGAATAAATCCCAGAATCCCTTTGCCTGGTTCCCATGAGCCCCTGGTCTGGTCTCCTCCTCGCCTGCAGCCTCAGCGCTTCCCACACTCACCGCTGCTTCCTGGCCCGGCTGCCTTCTGTGCACTCGCTGCCTCTGCACCTGTCACCCAGGCAGGGGGCCCTTCTGCTGTCACCATCAGCTGGCCTAGAGGTCTCAGCTTACATTCCCCTCCCCCTCCTCCAGGGACGGTTCCCTGTGTGGCAGGTCCGGACTCCCACAATGCCCTGGGCTCACATCACCATAGTCACCCGTTTGCCTTTTCCCTTTGCTGGGTCCTGAGGTGGTTGAGGACCGAAGGCCTTGTCTGCTCTTCTCAGCGGGGCTCAGCTCAGGGTGCCCCAGGGTGTGGGGTATGCACTGGAGCCCGGGCCTCCCTCGGTCCCTGGGGACACTGTTTCAGGCCACCACGGAGCCTCCTCTCCAGGGAGCGGCCGCCATCATCCACGCGTGTGACTCCTGGCGTGTCGGAATGTCCAGGCAGGAGCGCATCCTTGCACGTACGGTCAGAATGAACTTCCTCGCCCAAGCCCTGGAATTACCCTGAGCCTCAGCCGCTCCAGAGCCAGCGAGTGGCGGAGAGAATGGGGAGCCTCTGTGTCTGGCTGGGGGCACTGGGTGACCGTGTGGTACCCTCAGCACACCCAGGGGCCCAGGTTTCGTTCCAGGACTGGCATTCTTTTGAGAAACAAGTTTCTCCTCAACTTAAATGACACTGAAGCCATCGTCCCTCGGCCTGGATCTCCCTGCTGAGCACAGAGAAGCTTGAGCTGTCATCGTTGTCATTCACACATGGCAACAGCCTGACCCTGCCCACCGCCTGCAGCCGCTCCCTTCCTCCGAGATGCCGCCACAGGCCTGTCAGCTTGAGCTCCTGGCATCGAAGGCTTGTGCTCACCGCCCAGGAGTGAGCTGCTCCGTGGTTTCAGGAAAACACACCCTGGAGTGTCTCCTCAATCTCGTTCCCATCGGTGTGTGTGCTTTGCACGTGATAAAGTAAAATTATAACAGAACCGCCTACCTTACAGGAAATCCCTGAGGTCCCCCCACCCCACCCGGGCATTTTCTCCTGAACAAGTGTGGCTTCAACCCTCAGCGGACCTGCAGGTGACCATCCCGTGTTTTCTCTCATCACGGCGGGGCGCCTCCCTGGGGGCCACTTTGTCCCGTCACCGTCACGGCCGCGCAGCATTTTGGTGGCTGCAGCCCCCGCCGGCCTGTGGAAGGGAGGACTCTGGCTCTCGGGAAGCGGCTCTGAGCAGTGAGGGTGGAGGAGTAACAAAGAGGGCACTCAGCAAGCGAGTAGAGGGCAGCATTGATGGGGTGCTGCATCAGAGGGAGGGAGGGGACAGCCTGCCCACAGGGCTGGGGAGGCTTTCTCGGAGTCACGTTTCCCTCATGCATACCCTGCTTTGAGGGGGTCCTTTCCAGGAGTGGGGCCGTGATGAGGAGGGGCTCTAGGGCAGAGAAAAGGAGGCTCATGGGGCCTTGAAAATGAGCCTCAACCATCATCACCATCATCATCCAGCTATCCCGGCGCCGTTTACCCACAGACCCATGTCCCCCCATTGGCCATCGGCCATGCCCGTGCAGCTCTGTGTCTGCTCTTTGGGCCTCGGTGCCCAAGGTTCGATGACGAAAGCTGCACAGTAATCCGTGATGCCTTGTCAGGCACGTCCCCTACCTTGTTCTTCCTCAGTAAATACCTTGGCTATGGTTTATCCCTTTGCACTTGGATACACGTTTACTTTGACCTTTATTTTTATTTTTTATGAAGGTTAGAGGGGTGACGTAGGTCAAGGACATTACCAAGCTCCAGGTGTTGGTTTTATAACCTGCATATTGCATTCTACACTCACCACACGAAGTCTAGCCCCCTGTCACCATAAACGGACTCCCAGGTGTACACGTTAGAATCAGCCTGGGGACACCGCGACTGGGACCGCAGCCACTCAGCAGACCAGGAGGAGCTGGGGCTGCAGGTTGTTGACTCGAGCTCTCCATGAAGATGGTCCCTGTCCCTCTCTACGAGGCCTCCCCTCTGTCTGCTAGTCAAGCTCTCTATGGTCTTCCTCCAGCTTTTGCACACCTTTGCTAGGTGTACTGCACTTTATATTTCAGGGACTATTGCGAAGGCTGTCTTGTGAAGTAAGTTATCTTTGTTGAGATACAACCTACAAACCACACAATTCACCTGCTTCAAAGTGCTCAGCAGTAGCATATTCACAGAGCTGTACACCATCACCGAAACCTAAGCTTAGACCACATGACCACCCCTCCCCCCGAGAGCCCTGTGGCCACCAGCGGCCACTCCCCATCCTCGGGCAGGAAGGGGTGAGTGAGTGAGTGAGTGAGGGAGGGAGTGAGGGCGCATGCCTGTGCAGCAGGCTTTCTGTCTGGCATTGCCTGCCCGGCCTCGGCTTCTCTGATTTGTGTTGGGTCTTGCTCCCCTCCTGTTCCTATTGCTGTTTTTCATGCCAGCACCCCAGCCTCCTTCCTTCTTTCTCCTCCCTGCTCTTCGTCCCCCACACCCTGGCCAGACCCTTTTCCCCAAAGACAACCACGTGCCCCCACGGCTCTCCTGGCCCCACCGTTCCGCAGCCGCGTGGTTTCTGTGGAGAAGCTCCGGTCACCTTCGGCCCCTGAGAAACTCGCTTTTGGGAGGCAGCTCGTCGGTGCGTAGGCAAAGGCCTCTTCTGGGCCCGCAGAGTCCCCGGAGAGCGCCAGAGCTGACCTGCTTATTCCTGCTCCCCCTCTTCCTCCCAAGGGGGCGCTGCCCCGGTCACCCCCGGGAGGGGGCTAACTAAGTCCGGGAGCCGCAGCCTCCGGCGGGCGGGCGTTCTGTCCACCTGAGCGCCCGCAGCGACGGTCTTGTGCTCTACGGGCAGCGTCACTGCATCTCTTAGACCGACCTGGGCCATCTGTGCCGGCCCCGCAGCCCCGGACAATGCCACTTCACTCCGCAGTCTGGCCACTCCTCGCCCGCCTTCCCTGAGCACGTGGGCCATGCTGGGTACCTGCTTGGAGGTACAAAAGCTTGCCCCCTCTGGGCTCAAAGTCTAGCTAAGGAAAGAGAACAAGAAACAAGACACCCATTAAAGAGATAAGCAGCCCTGTCCGGTGTGGTTCAGAGGATAGAGCGTTGGCCTGCCGACCCAAGGGTCCCGGGTTCTATTCCGGTCAAGGGCATGTACCTTGGTTGCAGGCTCCTCCCCGGCCTGGGCCCTGCTCAGGGTGCCTGCAGGAGGCAACCGATCAATGTGTTTCTCTCATATCGACGTTTCTCTCTGTCTCTCCCTCTCCCGTCCACTCTCTCTAAAAGTCAATGGAAACATCTTTTCGGGTGAGGATTTTAAGAGAGAGAGGGAGGGTGTGCCTGGGGGAGACATACGTCCAGAGCAGAGCAGGGAGTGGCTTGCTTATGTGCTTTCTCCTCCCAGTGACTTCATGCAAACCTGGGCCCTGGCGTCACCCCAGGGAAAGGGGGAGTGGATCTAAGGCTCACAAACAAGGAAGCAGATGCTGCCACGTGGGAAAGCTGTGTACAGAACCCACTGAAGCCAAACACATGACCACATGTGGTCCCTGCCCCCGGCCGCCCTCTCCGGGGCAGGTAGCCGATGAGCCATCACCCCATATAAATTCTACTTCAAAAGACACACATTGCAAACAGATGCAGGACCCAGCCGATAGGCGTGTGCTCAGTGTGTAAGGGGAAGCGATAACATGTGCAGTTTCCCTTGAAATACACCCGAGCGGAAGCTGGACAGACAGACGCATGGCGGGGACCCGGCAAGGCAAGTGTAGTGGGCGTGATAATTGTGGAAACTAGATGGAGTGTCTGGGTGCTCCCTGTAAAGTGTTTTCGACTTGGCTGTAAAAAAAAGTCCTATAAAACGGGGTACGGGCTGGGGGATCACACGTATGCTGGCCAGTGGACGTGGACAGGAATGGTCACAGCCGAACAATGGCCTCACACCGGAAGCAACGCAGTGCCCGGCAGTGAAATAGTCCCTCCCCTCCCTGCAGCACACTGCGCCACCGTGTGGCCATGGCCATTGTCTGGACCACACGTGTCCCTCTGTGCACGCGTGGTGCATGTTGGGGAGCTTCCTGTCCTCTGCTGTCACAGAGCTCATAGAGCAGCCCTGTGCCTGTCTCCAGGGGCACAGGGGCAGGATTCCTCTAGGGTGCACTCCCAGGAGAACAGGTGCCCAGCCCTATTGTAGAACATGCTCTTCACTTTCCCAGGCCATGCCAAGGAACCTTCCAGAATGGTCGTACCAATGTATGCTCCTCTCCCCTGACTGTCCAATCCGGTCTCAGTAAGTTGCCTTCTGCAGGGCCCGCCCACGCCTGCTCACATGGCAGCCAGCGCTCAGAGGGGCGCGACAGGGATGCCCCTTACCCACTGGGTGCGCACAGGAGTGGTCCAGTGCGTGGCGTGTGTAAAGCCCACTGCCGTGTGTCAGTGGGATGGCCACGCGGCTGTCTCCCTTTCGGCTTCAAGGAAGAGGGATGAGCCAGCTCTCCATAGAGCGGCCGGACGCCAGGGCTAAGCCAAGAGCAGCGAGTCCCAAGGTTGGATCCCTCGGAGATTGATGTTCCTCCCACCCGTGACCTAGACCCTGGGCATGAACTCCCCACGCCCACCCGATCGGCCCGGCGGTGGAGGGCGTTCACACGCCATAACCCTTCTGCCCCTCTCTCCCGCTGCAGGTTAGCCTGGGGAGGAAGATAAAGACACTGGCAACCAAGATGGTCCTCACGAGCAGCGGCGACGAAGACAGAGGGGGCCACGAGAAAGAGAGCAAAGAGGAGAGCGTGTTGGCCATGCTGGGGATCATCGGGACCATCCTCAACCTGGTCGTGATCATCTTCGTGTACATATACACCACGCTGTGAGGGTGCCAGATGGCCCGGAGACGGGGCCCGGCGTGCGGACACACCGGTGAGCGGACGCCGAGCGAGCACATAAGCAGGCCTGACCTACACACAGTTTATACACGCCACGCACTGGACCACACCTGCCACTCGACCAGATGCACCTTCGAACTTGGTGGAAGGTCACCAATCTGAGCCCGTCCTGCTGCCAGGAGCGGCCACTAAAGCACAATGAACCCAAAATCACTCCGGCGCACAGCAAGGAACTCCGGGTCCGCGGCAGGGCGCCCGGAGGGACGGAAGACCAGCCTCTGGCACCATCGGTGAGCGGATGGGCGCCAAAACCCGCCGCCCAGATGGCTGACCGATCCCGCGTCCTCAGAACGAGGAGCAGGGCCGTGGGCCGCAGCGCACGGTGGGTCTCCCGGGACCCGAGTTCCGTCTTCGCTCCACGGGCTGCCGAGTAGGAAGAGCCACGGGGCCGAGGGCAGGCAGCCGCCGGCACAGTGTCCCCAGGCTGCGGGGAGACACCGGACTCTGCTCCTTTCCGTCAGCTTGCCGTGCGCATCCGTTCATACCGAGGTTTATAAATATCTATTTTTAATAAATGTGCCGTTTTTAGCATGAACCAAACGTGGAGAGGCCCTCCCGTTCCTCACGCTTCCTTTGGTTTTGTCCGCTCTGACCACTGGGGTGCGGACGTCCTGTTGTGTAGTCATTCCCATCCTGTTCCTCTGGCCTTGAGTCTTCCACCTCCCCCCTCTCTCTTTCCTCTCTCTCTCTCTCTCTCTCTCTCTCTCTCTCTCTCTCTCTCTCTCTCGGACATTTCCCATAATGCCGGCCACGCCTTGGCTGGTGCATGTCTAAGATTGCCCGTGGAGCGGCTGTGTTTGCTTGGAGATAGACGTGACCGTGGGCATGCAGACCGTGGAGGCACCATATCCTTCCCTGGATTCATGCAGGAGCAGAGCTGAGGGAGAGACCCCGAGCGGCTGGCAAAGGACTCTGGGGGGAGGCGCAGCTGGCAGCGCCTGGTTCCGATCCTGAGACCCTTTGAGACGAGATTGTGATTTTAGTGGCCGGGTGCCGTGAGAGGTGGACAGAGCGGGGGTGCTCAGCGATAGGTGGGTGGCCCCTTCCTTAGCAAGCCGCCTGGGTCCTTTTCAGAGTAGGTGGGGGATAAATGACCCCCAACTCCCCGTGAGAGCTCACTTCCAGCTGTGAGGACACGCCTGGGACATGGCGCCCGCCCCTGGGCGTCTGAATGTTCCAGGTGACACCCACGTGAAGGGCTTCCCCCTGGCAGGGCGGCTGAGTAAGGGAAGGCTCCCTGCCTCCCCGAGGCAGCCTGGCCCGGCCTCAGCCGTGTGGCCTGGCAAGAGGGTCGGCCAACGCCAGCCTTGCCAGTGGGCGAAAGCAGCAGCCGCCTGCCTCAGTTTGAGGGGTGCCCAGAGGTCTGCCACCAGGAGTGTCCCTGCCATGTGTGTGGGCTGAGGCCCTGCTCTCCGAGAGTCATTGCTTGGGCTTTTTTTTAAGGGGACAGACTCCTTTATAAGCAAAGGCCCCTGTGCCCCTGGCCCTGAGGGCGACTCATCAGGTTTCCCCTTGGGAGAAAGGAGGGAAGAAGGAAGGAAGGAAGGAAGGAAGGAAGGAAGGAAGGAAGGAAGGAAGGAAGGAAGGAAGGAAGGAAGGAAGGAAGAAGGAAGGAAGGAAAGGAAGGAAAGGAAGGAAAGAAAGGAGGGAGGGAAAGAGGGAGGGAGGGAGGGAGGAAGCTGGGGCCCAGGGCACGCGGCAGCCTGGCCCTTCATGGTCCTGGAGTCACTGCGTTCCTGCAGGGACCCTGGAGAAGAGGGAGGCTCCGCGGTCAGGAAGAGGTGCCTGAGGTCACGAGGCTCCCAGCAGTGAGCCAGGACACAAGCCTCGGCTGCCCGATGCCCTAGCCGGTGGGGCTGGAGGGGGGTGGGGGACCTTTCAGGAAAGGGCCGGGGGTCAGGATGGCTTTGCTGAGGGCCAGCTCTGCACACCCCCCCCCTCCCCTTGAGAGTAAAGGGCCCCGGGCACTCCGAGGGCACAGCGAGGCGCACCCATGTGAGGACGCGGGAAGAGGCTGGGCTTGGCTGGAACGTGGTGTCGGGAGGGTGGCTCTGCCGGTCTGTGTGGCTCTGAAAACTGTATGGAATGCCGGCCAGGGGCAGAGAGAACAATAAAGGTGCCATGGAAACCGTCTCGGTGCCCTTCTCCTTCAGCCTCGTGGTGTCTGTCTTCGTGCTTCGGTCCCACTCCTTTGCGTAGCTGTATTTTTAAAGGAACGCCTGCCTGCGTGCCACTGTGGAGCGGAGACTCTCCCTTAGGCTGCAGGGCCCCGGGGCCTGACCAGGGTGCTCAGGTGACTGACTGAGGGGGACTGCTTCTGCAGTGGCCAGGGCGGCTCCCCGGCGGTTCTTCGGATTGTCTACATCCACGGGCTGGACCAAAGGCCCTCAGTCAACAGCCCGAGCTCGCCCTTACTTCCCTTCTCCTGTAGCGGAGCCCACGAGCACACCCCGGGCAGCTCAGCACCTGGAGGCACCGCGAGGGGCTCTCGTTCAGAACTGCAAGCTGCCTGGGAGGTTCTCCTTCCCGTCGCCCTGCACCCCCTCCCCTGCCCCCGGGCCCACAGAGGGGGAGAAGGAGAGGCCCTGCAGCCTGCCCAGAGTTGGTATCGCTGAGCAGTAGCAGAGCCAGAGTTCAAACTCGGCTCTTCCCGGCTCTGGCCTGCCGGCTAGGGTAGGCGATGCTAGCTGCGGTAACAGACAGAAGCCAAGCTCTCGTCTGCGCGCCAATGGCACGCAGAGTTCTGCACTTGACCTTGATTTAGGTCAGAGAGCCTGACTCGGGAGAGAGGGACACTATTCCTCACTGAAGACGTGCCCAGCAAGCTGAACATAGTATCTCTGAAAACGTTCAGTTGCTTCATCCCAGAGACAAGGACACTGAGGCACATCGAGGGTCAGTCGTTTGCCCAGTGAGTGACTAAACTGGGACCCGAACCAAGATGGTCCGACACCAAAGGTTTTGGATGTTGGCGTCGTGTCGCTGAGGAATCCCACCAGCTGACCCCTGGGATGGAAAAGGGGGGGTAGACTGGCCTCAGGAGACTACAATCACACATGGGACCTGGGGCCCAGAGCCCAATCCTCTCCCATTCCTGCTTGCCATCCTCGGGCCACAGAATTCCAGCTGGCGCCCCCCACTGCACCACAGAACGGACACAGAAGTGTTCCGTGGAAGCTTCCAGACCTCCAGTGAGCCCTTCCTCTGAACAGTAGGGTCTGTGGACTCAGTTATTCATTCATTCAGCACGTGTGCAGTGCCTCCTGGGTCCCAGGCCACGTGGGAGGTCAGAGCTCCAGAGAGGGTTGTGACGGTGGGGGGTTGGGGGGTCCCCTCCGTCTGTGAGGACAGGCGGTCAGGAGACACACCGCCGTCACACACACTCCCCTCTCTCTGCCACTGGCTAATGACACTGGGTTGGCCCGGAACCTGGTGTTTTTAATCTCAGTTTCCTCCAAGCGCGGGCTTTTCAATTCCTGGCCCCATGATTCTTTGCGGGGTCAGCATCCTGTGGTTCGAATGAAATCCCTCAATTGGTTGGATGCCATCGGCGTCCATAAATGTAGCCTCATCCCGACAGCCAGCCTCAGATTCCACAATATTTATGAGCCATGGCGTGGGCCCTTGTATGTCCTCTGAAATATTAAACTTCCACAGAACAGACTGCCAAAAGCGGGCTGCAGCCCAGGGCACTCTTAATACCAGCTCTTTCATTAAAAATCAAATAGGAATAAGAGCGGCTAGTAATTCGCAGATGAGCCCGAGGTCACAGAAGCTGAAGGAACGTTAGGTGCACCAGGCGCTCTGTAGACCCTGCTCTTCCACCCAGGTCCCAGCGAGAGGGGCTGGCTCCCAGCATGGGCCCCGGAGCCAGGCTGTCGGGCGCTGCCTGCAGCTCCATCACTTGCTGAATGGCTGGCTGTCTCCCAGATCTCTCTCCTTCCCCACTCGGCTCTGTGCTCCAAACAGCTGAACGCTGTGGGCCATGGCCACAGGCACCCTGACCTCTCATGTCCAGCTGGGCTCAGCTAATAGGGAGCCCTGGGAGAGATGGAGGGAGTGGACAGGGGCAGGGTGAGGAGTTTACCCAGACCCCGGGTCCCTCCCTGATGGATCCCGATGGGCTCATCCAAAGGCCACATCTCTCAGATGCCCAGCTGACCCGCGGGGCTTGGGTACCTACTCCCTCCTCTGCCCCAGCGGTGGCCACAGCTCCCTCAGCTACTCGCTCCACGGCACTTAATGCGTCATCGCCAATTGCTTTCCCTGAACTCTCTGTCCTTACATTTGTATTCGGTTTAATCTTGTAAAATGGCCATTGTGAAGGCCAACAATGATCAAATGTCGGCAATCTCACATGTTTGAACCTGACAAACTGTGATTTCATTTACCAGCCTGTGTCCGTTACCTCCCACCAGAACCTTGGCTGACACAGAGGATGGATGACCTTGCCCTGGCCCCTCAACCTTCCTGTGCCTCCCTCTGCTCCCCTGTAAGATGAAAGCAATGCTCATGATAGCGCCTACTTCAGAGAATTGCTCGAGGGATATAACGAGCTCGTGTGTACAAGGTGCTAAAAAGGTGCCTGAGCCCCTAACCGGTTTGGCTCAGTGGATAGAACGTCAGCCTGCAGACTGAAGGGTCCCAGGTTCAATTCTGGTCAAGGCATGTACCTTGGTTGTGGGTGCATCCCCAGTGAGGGGTGTACATGAGGCAGCTGATCAATGTTTCTCTCTCATTCATGTTTCTAACTCTCTATTCTTCTCCCTTCCTCTCTGTAAAGAAAAAAAAAAAAAAAAAATATATATATATATATATATATATATATATATATATATATATATATATTTTTTTTTTAAAGGTATCTGACAAGTACTAGGGGCTCAGTGAACAATGGGGAAAGGAGACAGTAGAGTCAGGAGAATGGA